TGATTCATGAGCTAAGCACAAATAGGTTTTTAAATAATCATTCGATAGTCTCCACCTATTGTCGATCATATTGCCTAGGTTAGATTGACACCTAGCCTTTGATCTTAGGTTGAATTTACTTATCAAAAGTTTGTAAATTGCTGGAAATGACTTGGGTGGGCGATTTGATCCTTAGCCAACGAAAGTTGAAGTTAGGGCATCTCGTGAACATATCAATCCTAATCGTTTAATGCTTGATAATCCTTGTAACCTCAACGACAGTTAGGGTGTTAGATTGATTGTTAAAGTTGTAGATGCCACGAAAGTGGATCTCCTTATATTTATGGTTGAGTTCGAGACTTGGTCGTAATCGCATACCTGAATAATTGCTTGGTTCCTGATATTCGAATCCCTGAGAATTATCCCTGACCTAACGCCTTTCCACTATTGTTTACAACCGATTTTACTTTTGTTTGCTTTGATATTATCGTGACATTTAAACCCCAACTTGAATCGCTTAGCTGAGATTTGTAATCCATAGAATTAGAGCGTATTGCTGGTCCCTTAACGAACTTCACTATTCTACATCGAATTAGTGATACATCAAAAGAAAAGAAGCATGTGTCTCACATTTTGACACATTTTCTCAAGGAAGAAGCCATGATAACTCAATCTGTTTTATGAGAACATGTGAACGGATCGGAAGTACAGTGAAGAGTGATTTTAACTCAGAATTGTGAAGTTGAGCTTATAGAGACATAAAATGTCCAAACAGTTATGGTTCCAGGTGGAGTATTGCTGCTACAAGAAAGGGCAGCGGTTATTCAAAGGGTATCTATTTTTCTATTTCTGATAGAGCTATGTTTGTGGAGGTTGTCTCAGGTATTTAGCTCAAAAGCAAAGAGTTAAAAAGTTACATAAATCGATGTTGGATAAGATTCATGGGAGTTCTGTGTGCTAGGAAGAAAATAAACCAAGAACAAGTGGTTATCAATGGGTATTCGGTCCAACTGGGTGATAATCTGATGGTAAAAGGCATGGTGTAGATTTGGTTGAATCTGGATGTTGGTAAGTGTTATACAGAAGGATTGCATGCTCTCATAAGAGAGTTGCAGGTTTCTGAAATTTTTAAGAGAGAAGACACAAAGTTGTGGTTTGATATGAAGTTTTTTGAAGTGGGTCAGTTGGTTCTTCAAAGAAGAAATTGAAAGAGACAAGTGTGGGCGATGCAGGAGTTGGCTCATGGTTACTCACTTCAAGACGGAACATCAATATACATTTAAGAAGAGAACAACTTTGGAGATTAGAGTAGTTTGTTTGCATCATGAGGAGATATGTAAGTATCTTCCTAGGGAATACACTTGTGGATCAGTCAAATGAATTATCTTCAAGTATCACGTGTTGATAAAGAAGAATAAGGCTCTGGTTTGGGTCTAGAAATGAAATGATGCAAGATCCAAATTCGTTTGGGTAGAGGTTGCGTACAATTAGAAGTATTGCAGGCTAGTTCTGCAAGAGGAAGTGTGACACGCAGTTGAATCTGTATCACACACGAAACTGCAGGTTGTTCTTTACAGCTTGAAGGAGACATAAAGGACTCTAGAGTCGATGTGCAAGCTGTTGTAAGGACGTATCTCAGGAATATCACAAGGCTGTGCTGTTAAGAGATGTGTTAAAGGTTGCTAGTAGTGAGTTATCAAGCTGCTGGTGTGTTCTGTTTTAGCAAGACGATTGAGCATAAGTTATGTTCTGGGATTGCTTGTTTAAAACAGGTTAATGAGGTGAATTTCAGATGGTGTAAGCTATTGGTGAGATTGATTAAAGGTTGAATCAAAGAGCTTTAGGTTGGAGTCTAATATGATTCGGATATTCTGCATTTGATTCAAGTGATTCCGAATTATCTCAATGGCCAAGAGGAAATCCTAGAAGCTATAAGAGAATCAAGTTTTGCAGAGGTATATTGGTATTTTCAGTCACTGCAATAGTTCTGAGGTATTGAAAGAAGCCACAGAGGATACTATGTGATTGGAGAGGTTCATAAGTGGTGGAGCTTATGAAGATTTCTGTTGAGTTAACATGTTGGAGATTCTTAACATGTTAATGGAGTTTGGTGAGAGATTATATTAGGTTCGATACTCTGATGACATCAAAATGGTTGGGAGTTGAGTTTAAGCACAAGTCTGTGTTTTGAAACTGGATGCAACTCAAGTGGCCAAGAAGGGGATGTTGGAGGTTTAGTA